CAACTATGCCAAAGGTATTGGTGACTCCCAGCAGGAACCCTGCATATCTGGGGAGAGGAAGCAAAGATTTCCTGAGTGAGACAGAGAGGAAACTGTCACAAAAAGGGAAAGGAGTAAGTACTGCCAGTCCCTTCCCTCATCTGCATGAATACTGCCTGTCACGCTGAGCAACACTAGGATCTTCCCTGCAAGACTGGGGGGGATTTTAAGCCTTTCTTTTACTCCTTAGCTTACAATGCCACCAGCTACAGAAGATAAGGGAAGGGAGAGTGGGAGTTGCAGAAGCCTTGGGGGACTGGGAACAAGAAGGACACAGAGCCAGAGAGGGCACAGAGGTCAGAGCCACTTACTTGGGTGCTATATCGATGTGGTTAATATTGATGCCTGCTCCTGTCATGCTGATTATTGTCAAGGCCAGCGTTAGAAGGACCACAACAACCGTGGAACTGCAGCCAATGTAAGGCACGGCCACCAGGAAGACGGCTGGGAGCAGCATCCCTTGGGAGGAAAAGGGGATGTGTTTTGTAACAGGCCACAGAAGGGTGTTGGAAAGGCTGGACGGCAGACGAAAGCTTGTCCTTACCGAGTGCTGAGAAGAGCTTCCTGACGGCTGCTGTGCCAAGCACTCGCCTGGCCAGGAGGAAATCAGCCAGCAGCCCAGCCAGGAGGTGCCCCAGCCCATTCCCAATGTAAGGCAGGGAGGAGAGGAGCCCATTCTGCAGAGCAGGGAACAAGGCATTGTCACACCCATGGCATGAAGGAACAGAGCCAAGAGCTCCAAGACTGCAGCTCCCTTGGTCCCAGAGCCACCGGTCTTCAGGAAGAGATGTCCCTGAGGAACCTCCGTGTTCCCAACCTACAGAGGGACCAAGTCCCGTCGCTGTTGCAGGGACCAGCCTCAGCTGCAGGGCAGCACTCACCTCTCTGAGGTCAAAGTGGAGGACGTTGCTCACAAATGTGGGCATGGAGGTCAGCAGCATGTAGAACAGCCAGTCTGTGCAGAAGCAGGCAACGGTGATCGCCCAAAGAGGCAGCGATTTAGCCATGGCCACAAGTGGAAGGGAGCAGCCGTGAGAGCTGCTCTGGAAGGGAGAAAACATCAGCCAGTGCCTCCTTTCCTGTCTCCCATCCCCTGGGCAGGCTGTCCAGGCTTTCCTCAGCCTCTCCACCTGCTGCTGAGAAGACTGTGACTAGCCCTGGCCGCTGTATAAGGAGCCCAGCCAAACTGACTCGGAGCAGTCCCTTTGCCACGGTGTCTGCAGCGTGGTCAGTCGTGGTTAAAAGGTTTGCGTGTACCTGGTGAGCCAGCAACGACACGATGTACTCCTGCTCCGCGGCACTAATCCATGGGTGACGTGCAGGGTCCTCGTACACGAGGAGGAACCAGCAGAGGCACCAGACACAGCCAACGCCACCTGCGAGGAGTGGGGCTCTCGGTGCCAGCTCCTTTTACGGTGAGCTGCGGCAGAGCTGAGAGCCAGCGGGATGGAGGCTGGAGCTAGCGAAATGGCGAGTGCAGGACGATGGAAAGGGACAAACTCCCCTGAACCCATTGCTCACAGTGGAAGGGGCCAAGTCGATGGCACAAAAGGTTCAGCAAAGGCACATTCCCTAATAGTACCCCAGCAAAATGGCTTCATCCTGGCCTGGCGGGTGAGAGGGGAGCCCAGAGCTCTGTGTGGGACTGGTAAGGATGGAGCTGGTCCCACAGGGCTCTGATGGGGAACCTTTGGGAGCTCTGCCACCAACGGTCTGCAACGGGGTTGGAGTAGAGGGACATGATGGGCCATTACTCACCAAAGATGTAGAAGACAAAAGGCCACCCCAGACTCTGGCAGATGATCCCAGCCACAAGGAGAGCAAAGAAAGTCCCAAAAGTGCATCCTAGGGATCAAAAACCAGCAGAGTCATTTTAATGGGACTTTGTGTGACCAGCAGCGAGTGGGACAGACCTACAGCCTCCGGCCTGCTTTGTGACGGGAAAATGTGGTGGCACAAACAAAGCGCCTGTGCAAACAAGCAGCCTTGTATCCAGGTTTGCTCCCTTCAGTGCCCGGGTTCTCTCTCCTGCCTCGAGCTGACCTGAGTCGAGGACGTAGAGAAGACACAGGATGGGAGGAGGACAGGCGGAAAGGCTGAACACTGCTAACACTTCTTTGCCAAGGACCCACAGCCTTGAACTTGAGGCTGCTACAAGGACTGGCTTGGAAAGAAGGGGGCGAGGAGAGGTTCTGCACTTACTGAATCGGTGGTAGGGAAAAGTCCTTGTGTCTTACCAGCATCAGCGATGTTCATGAGCCTGCTGCGTTCCAGTGGAGGGGCCCATTTTGCCCAGAGTGTGTACTGAGCTGGAAATATCACTCCCTGCAAAGAATAACGGAGCGTGGAGGGACGGGACACGGGCAACGCGGCCAGCGCTAACCAGACCAGGTTTTGTAGCCTGGCAGCACCTGGAGCCGCGACTGACCTCAGCCAAGCCCAGCAGTGCCTGCAGCCCGATGAGGAAGCTCACGCCGAGCTCTGCTGCTCGGGGTACGAGAAGGGTGAGCAGGGAGGAGAGCAGGAGCCCGCTGCCCAGGACGGGCTTCCCCCCGAACAGCCCTGAGCAGTACCCGCCCAGCGCCTGCGTGAGGCCGTAGCCGTAGAAGAAGGAGCTGAGGACGATTCCTTGAGTTTCAGCGCTCCAGTTGTACGCGGGGGCCTGGAGGAGACAGAACATGTCTGTCAGACAGAGCTCTCTCTTTTCCAGTCATGGACTCCTCTAGAAGGGGAGAAGCAACCCAGAAATGGAGCCCTGAGTATGACAAACTGAGCTCTCTGCTCCTTCACCCGCCTTGTCCTCAAGGCTTTTCTCTGCTGCTTCCAAGTCTGTCCTCATGCAAAAGCAAGTGCGGACTGAGCCCGGGAAGCGTCTTTCAGTTATCTGCATCTGCTTTCCACTTACATCCTGAGCAAATCCTGGGTAGGAGCCGTGGGGAGCGCTGCCGGACCAGCTGTGGGGGTGGCTGCTGTTAGTCATGGCGACGATGGCGATGCTGAGGCCGACCCGGAGCGCATACGCCACGAAGAGAGAGACGTGCAGGACCAGGGCCAGGCCACAGCGAGCAGAGCAGAGCCCTGTGGAGGGAGAGCGCCCACAAATCAGGGCTGGTGGGAGCGGCCGCGGGTTAACTCTCCCCCCCTCCTACAGATCGGTGTCGCCAGGCAATCGATCACCTTACTGCAGCAACAAATGGCTCTTTCCAGGTACCTCTGGACGTCTGCCACTGAGCCCTGCCCTCCTCTGCAGCGGTGGCAGTTCCTATCTCCAGAAGGAGAACGGAGGGGCGGGAAGGCAAGGAGACTTGCCCAAGTATGGAGGGGACACGTCGAAGCCTGAGGTTGCTGGCTCCCAGGCCCTGCTGAGGCCGCGCTTCAGCCCGCTGCTCCCCAGGGAGCGGATTTACCTGTGCGGGAGGAGAGGGGCTGCGGAGCAAGCAGAGGGGCTTCGTCCTGCCCTGCCTCCAGCCCGTCCCCTGCCTGCGCGTTGTCCACGTGGCGCTGCATCCTCTCCTGCCTGCAACACTGCTGCCTGCTTTTCCTCAAGACAATGTCCAGCCCTGTTGGGAAGTGACTCTCAAACGTCAATAAACATGGGATCAGCCAGGCGGTGACCCTGGAATTTCCTCCCAGTGCCGTTACCAGCACGGCGAGAGCGGAGCAGGCTGCCGGCACACGGCTTCATGAGCACAGCCATTTACAGCAGCCTCAAACCTCCCCGGGACGGGCTTATTTGCATCCGTGGTTTATAACCCTCGACCACAACGGCCTGGCAGGGCAGCGGGGGCTCTCCCACCCCGGGGTGCTCCTGCAGACGCCCCGGGGGGACCCGCTGCCCTCCCTCGCCTGCTGTGAAGGGAGGCTCCTTCCCTGCCCCGTCCCCCCGGGCTAGCTCACGTACGGGGAGAGGGGATCGGCGGGGTCGTGCGTCTCCTGGCTCCGTGTGCCGGGGCGGGGAGCGGGACGCTGCGGCAGGATTTGGCATTTCAGGGACCAGGGTGGGATTGAGCCACGGCGGGACTCGAACCGGCGGCTTGGGTGGGAACGCCGGGGGCCACGCCACGCCCCCGCCAGACCACGCCCCCGTCAGCACCCCCCCCCCCAACGGGTCCCACCC